ACAAACAAACAAACAAACAAACAAACAAACAAACAAACAAACAAACAAACAAACAAACAAACAAACAAACAAACACAAACAAACAAACAAACAAACAAACTGTTTCTTTGCCACTATACAGTTGTAAACCTCTCTATCAAACTAGAATGGACCGGTCTGGAGGATGGAGGGGGCGGGGTTGGATTTAAAGAGACAGCTTCAAAATGAGTTGATCTGACACACCTCAGAAAAGGGGTAAAAGGTGGGCTTGTGGAGTTACAATGAGGAATTCCGACCAAAGCAGTGCAGTTCCACTTGATATGGACACCAACTGAATGTTTTACTGTAAATTTGAAAAATAAAGATTTAAAAACATGATATATCTCCTTTTAGATTATACCGCTTTTCAGAATTGCATATACGTTTTTCGGGAAAATGACAGATGTTAACTCTTTCAAACTGTATTTTATGTTTGATTTTACAGTTTACAATCAGTACTTTAAACAAGAAACAAATATTTATTATTACCTTCCTGTTTTTATATATTCCTTCACCTAAATAAGGATTTATACGTCACATACCTGTGCCCTCATTTGAGTCAGTTTGCCGGTGCTTCGAATTACCCTGGTTGCTTGTCTCTCCTCTGCACATACTATTACATGACAGCTGTCACTTTAAGTAATCACAGTTTCATCACTATCTCTGCACCATCCCTCAGGCCCAGACTGGTACCTGAACAAGGTGAAGCTGAAGATCACCGATGTCAACGACAACGTCCCTGAGTGGAATATGAAGCCTTACCCCTACCTGGCTGTTGTGTCTCCTGAGGCCCCTGCAGGATCATTTGTCTACCAGCTGGAGGCTATAGATGGGGATGAGGGCAAAAGTGGAGAAGTGGAATATTTCCTGTCAGACGGTAAGCATTATTGCCGCTCATATTCATGCACATAACCTCATAAGCTGTATGAGGGGGAGGTAAAATGTGTTGTCTTGTTGGTAATAGGTTGGCAGGCTGTGAAGCTTTGGAAATTAATACAACCAGTCTGACACCAGCACAATCTCTCAGCGCTACAGCCACAGGCATTCCCACATTCATTCATGCATTCGCATGCTTTTTTCCGTGTCCATTAGCATCTCTAGTCTTTCTTTCCCTCTCTCTGTCGCCATCCCTCTTTTCTTTCTCCTACCCATACAATCACTCAATCAGAAAATCCCCTACACAGCCAAAGGCCTTCGCAGATTTGTTTATGCACTTTTCATGCACTCTTGTCTGTCTGCTTCTCTCTGTCTCATACAGAGAATCATGCAAGCGCACATTCACTCATACACAAACACATGCAGTGGGCTGTTGGAAGCCTGCCAGAAGAGTGGACCCCCTGGTGGCTGAAGCGATTGAGGGTTGTTGGCAGAGATTGCGGGATGTGCTGATGTTGCTTGTGGGGGTTTCTGATTTCCCTCCGACTCTCGGTTTAACTGTAATCAGGACATCCCACAGCGCCCTGATTTTGAGTTAAACCCCGTCTGCACAGAGGTGCTTATTGTCTGCATTAGCATGCTAAGAACCCTTAAGTTGTGGCGTTTGTCAGCTGAAAATTAGTAAAAACAATCAAAGTGATCTGAACCCGCTGTTTGGATTTCACGTTATTTATCTAATCTGCTTGACCTGTCCTCAGCTTTAAACACCACGAGATTTCGTTAGAACAACTGGCCTCTAGATGACCATGATCTGACCCCATTTGCAGAACCTATTAGAAGTGTGTTAAGCATTCGCAGGGGTTTCTTGTGAAAAAGACGTTGTTGCAAAATTTCTTTGTTAATGACAGCAAAACAATGTATGCAAAATACTACACACATTTACTAGAGTATAAATTTCACACAGTTTGAGCTAGTTTGTGTTACCTGAAATTATATTAAAAGTAGAAGTCTTGTGTTTGTTTTTCAAAAAAAAAWWTTTTTTTGCCCCCTTTTAGTCAAAGTCGATTTATTGTCAAATCTGCAGGACAGACACATGATTGAAATTACGTTACCCTCAGACTCTGGTGCAATAAACATCAAAAGTTACTGTCCCTGATGCATCTCAGTAATCCAAGCCAACAAGCACAATATGAGGCTATTTAAAATAAAAACCTGTTTTTAGGCGATGGCCCTCAATATAAACATTTATATTGTTTTTCTTCAAATATTCAAAGTAGTGTATTGTTTGTATTGTTTGAATGCACCCCCACACCACCCCCTCGCTCTCTTTGGCACATTGATACCTTTGTTCATGCTTTACTCCTACCAGCTGTCAGTCTGCAGAACAATGGGAAAGCAGCAGCAGGAACCAAAACCTAAARAGCGGGGATACTAATCAAAACTTCAACATTTTATTGCTTTTCAGGTTGTAAATTTTAATGCCTAAAAATAAAAAATAAAAGGAATAACAGTAAGTCATTTTGTCTTAGACTGTTGACTCGTTTTTTTAAACAGACCTCCATTCTTATTTAAAACGTACATAAATTTAAAAGAAAAGTACTTGAATGGGTTACAGTGTTGCTGCTTATCAAATGTTTGCTCATTACTTTTTCTTTACTTTCTTTTGTCACTCATTGATTGCCATTTTCCTGTCTTTTTCCCTTAAACGTACACAGTTATGCTGTTGTTATAATTTCTAACAGAAAATAGCCTCCAACCAAAAGTGCTGTTTACTCATTTTGAGAAATGTTAAAACTCATCAGTTCCAAGCTGGTTTGAGAAATTAGTGCGCCCATTTAAAYGCCTATTGTGATCTGTCTTTTTAATTTGTAAAACTATTAAAGAAAAAGAAAAATCAATGTTTCCAGTAGGAGCAGATGGGATGAGAACCACAGAGCGGGGCGGGCAGTCATAGTACCCACCAGACTAACACAGTGTTTGGTCTGTTCATAAAAGATTCTTTTGACAGCTTGGATAACATACTTTTTTTACTAACGTCTTGTTTTACTTTAATCACATCCATGCTCAAAGCAAACTCAGGAAGAAAACTCATGCAGTTGATTCCTTTTCAAAACTCAGTTTATTCTGGCTCTTCATAAAGCATATCTTTGTTTGTTTGCTAAAAATTCCAGATAAAAACCCTTTTCTTTGCGTGTGTGATGGATGAGCAGGCAGGTAAGAGCGAAGCTGTATAAATGATCTTGTTCTGTCCAATAATTCACACCATCATTTGCTCGCCGTGCTACCTGATTGTTCGTGTGCGATGCACTCAGATGAATTCCGCGTTGTTTACACATCAACATATCACAACAAAAGACACCTGAAGACAATTTGACAAAGTGAGAATCCCAAACCCCCTTCAGGCAAACACTCACTTTAATGAASAGTTTTGCTCGATAAATAATCGTTCGCACACATCTTCAGAAAACATCCATCTTTTGCAGATTTTGCTGAATGAATTATTTTATATTACAGAAGAACATTTTTTGTAATATTAATATTTATGAAACTCAGTGTTTTTTTTCCCCTGGATTCTCTAAAAGAGAAGTCCTGGCAGTGTAATTGTGTATTTTTTGTGTTGTTTGAAATCTAACAGGTCGACATGATTTCTCAGAGTTAGTCTGTCAATATTTGCTTCTGGGACAAAACCAGCAACTGAGGCTCAGGACTGAAATTTCCACTGACACTGCACTGCTGTCAGCGATAAAACTCTCGAGGACACTGAAATGTGACGACCAGTCAGTTTTTTTAAGGTCTCGTCTGGCCAGAGTAGATGGAAATCCTTGAACTTTCTGACCTGAGAGGTTGTAAACTAATGATTATTTATTTGCAGTCTATCCAAAGCAGTCATTTTAAATAGCCTCACATTGTGCTTGTTGGCTTGGAAAAGGAAACCACTCACCACTTAGGGCCAAAATGAGGCACCTTAACGATCTGACCTACGTCTAATCAGACATAAATCAACCACTGTTTAATATTGTGTTCCTATACTGATACCTTTTATAACCCTGTTAATCTTTACCCACAGGAATCTAAAAAGTGAAAAGTTAATGTCTTGTTTTGTATGTTTTAGGACAAGTTCAAAGGTTATGATGTATCGGTTCACATMAGTTTTGCGGTTTTGGACAGAAATAACCAAAACTAGAAACATAAATTCAACTTGAATGCTGTTGAATATTCCTTAAACTGAGTGATCAAAATTGCAGCGTGATAAACTGTTACACTGGACTATCAAGATACTTCAGTGGTAACGTTCACACCGCAGGCCAATGTGACCCAAATCTGATTTTCCTGCCCCGTGCGACCCCGCTGAACGTGTCAAATCAGATTTTTTTCAAATCCGACCCAGACCTTTTCAGTTTGTGGTACATTTACATCAGTGAGTTGTGGGTGAGCAGATCGATCCATTTAATAATGACACTAACCTCGAGTCATGCAGTTTAAATCATGAAGCTAAATATGTCTTCAGCTACAGAACAGAATTGATCGATACTTTATTTTTAGCAMGTCGCTTCGTTCCAAAATAAAATGCTGCACCGAAGCATCCKGTCAGAGACACGTTCAGATATAAACACTGACCTAAACAAGCACGTCAGATAATCATTTCATCGACTCTGACTGCACAGCAACTTCAGAATCAACATGCTAACATGTAGCATCCATATTTAGCTAAACAGCGAGCTGACTGTGACGTCTTCTTCTGCACATGCATCASTGCTGTGCAGCGTTCCTACTGGGGTCTGATGGTGGTTGCATTTAAAAAATAATATATSATAACGCGAACGTCCATGCAAAAAAGCAACTGAATTGTTGCAAAAAATGGGAAGTGAGCGTTAAGACCTGCAGTGTGAACATAGCCATGTTGTCACAACTATTACTCTCCCTGCATTTCAAGAAAAGAGGGCAGTATTGTCTTTGAATCATGTTTGTAAATTCAGTATAAGCTTCGAACCTTAAATACTTGAACATTTTAAAGGGGTATTTTGTGAAATTATSAGTGAATAATATATTTTGTGTATTTATTGGTGTAAAACTGCAAATGATTTAAAAGCTTTGTGATCATGTGYGATTTTTGTTTTTGGATTAAAGCTGCTTTAATATGGCAGAAATCAGCTTTAAAACTGGCCCAGTTAGGCCTCCTGATTGCTCTTCTTCMTTGACAGAACTTCTGCTTGATATTTGAAGGTGATAATGCTCTGATTGATTTCCACTGCAGGTATCGATCACTGATAACTCCACAGAACAGCCGTTAAAAAAGGCTGAAGTATTCCTTTAATTCAGTGAGCTCAGAAAAGGAAGAATCGTTATTTCAACTCTCATGAGTAACCTTTGAGTTAGTATTCCAGACAGCACCGAGGGCTTGGTTTGGATCCAGCGATAGGAAATCATATCATTTTACTTCCCTGTAGGCGGTGACGGCTGCTTTGCTGTAGACAAAGAGACAGGCCAGGTGCTGACCACAGGGCTGGTGCTTCAGAGAGACAGAGAGTACCTGTTAAGCGTGGTGGCCATTGATGGTGTGGGAAGTCGCAGCGCACCTGCTATGCTCTCTGTGGTGGCAGGAGCCAGAGCGCCGCAGTTCACCAACACCAGCTACGCCATCTCCATACCGGAGAACACACCTGAAGGACAGCCGTGAGTGCTGCACATCTTCACATATATTCATAAAGCAGGGGATGAAGTTCAGATGAGTGACTGAGCCAAAAACAACAATAGGTACAAATTTATTCTAGGGTTTTTGCAAAAACAACATTTTGTTCTTATAAAAGAAAAATTCAAATGTGATGTTTCTCCAAAGTCTTATTTCATAATTAAGCTGTTTTATTTAAATGTGGACTACTCGGTCGTATTTCTGCACTTTTTAGTCAGATACTTGACTTTTGGTCGACACAAGGGAAAACAGCATAATAGAGGAAAAATATTAAAAAGGTAATATCGTTAAAGTGAGCGATTTTTAGGAGGATGCAAAAGCAGGACCAAGGGATGGAGGCAGGTGGTAAATGAAAACAGCAACTTCAATGAACTTAATGGCACAAAAAATGGATAAAAAAATAAAACTGCTGCAGAAAACTTGGGCAGTGCAGCCGATAATTCCAAAGAACAAACAAGCAAAGAATAAAAAAAATAAAAACGGCAGGCGAGATGGGGAAAATAAAGGCAGATAAACTGAACAGAGGCTCAGTGAACAAACAGACTAACAAAGTATGGATGGTGAGGCAAGACCATAAAATCACACTGAGTTCTAATTGACTTAACAAACCACAGCTGAAAGGAGCGAGGGAGGGGAGGAAAAACAAAACTAAYACCAGGAATAAAACGAGACAGAAACTAATGAAAAAGAGTGAACAAGATTTTATAGCAATAAAATAAAATGAACCAACAATAAAACAGTAAATAAATTAAAAAAGAGTTTAAAAAAGTAAATTGATTGACACTAATAGTAGTAGCARTGGTAACTTATATTAAAATCCTTTATGAAAGATAACATCTCTAAGCAGACTGAGCAAATGGTTGAAATTCTGTGAGCCCCCCACAAAAATAAAAGAAAAAAAAATGAAATTTAATTTTTTTACTTAAAAAAGCACTCAAAACTGTTCTAAAATTGTAAACTGTGATTTCTCAAAATTTCTTTTTTTTGTATGTGTGGGTAGGACGGAAGCCCCCCTTGTGTCAGATGTGGGGACCGCAAGCCACTAGTTGCCCATCCCTGAAATACGACATTAAATGTCAAAATAAATAAATAAATAAAATGATTGTGGCACATAAATTGACTGTCTGACTCCCAAAGGGACAGTTTTCTCATCTAAATAGTCTCAAATCTGTTCCCTACAATAAGCAAAGCAGACAGGAACAGAAACACAGGGGACGTTAGGTGCTGCATCTCGTCACAGCACAGTTTAAGACTTGTGTTAATAAGTATTCATTTGGTCACATCGGTGCACTCGAGCAAGCACCGACAATCATCATCATATACTGTTACTGAATGCAAAGTCTCCTAACCATAAAAACAAACACTGGTATCTGCGTAATGGCATTCTATTACTACACAAAACTGACAAATACTGACTAACCACGTTTAGAACACGTAGTCAATGGAGCGTGAAGTCATTGATTTCATTAGCACAAAGTGCTGATGCAGGAAAAGAGGATTTCGATTCTGTTTCGACATGGGTTTTGATGAAATCAAGTAGAAAATAATTGTTTTTGTTCATTTCTGCCTTTTTTCCTTTTTAATTATTTTATTTTTGTTCCACAGCTTCCTTTTGGTGTTAGCTATTTCCTTCCAGAAGCAGCAAATCAGCTACAGCCTGCTGATCAATCCCAGCAGCCTTTTCAGCATTCGACAGGAGACGGGGGAGATCAGTCTGACCAGGACGCTGGATTATGAGAGCGATCAGCGACGCTACCTTCTGATGGTGCGAGCCAGTGAGGAGCCTGGCAGTCTCAGCTCGGCCACGGAGGTTGGTTTAACCCTAACCCCTAACCCCTACATATGTGACGGTTCTTAAACAGGGTGGTCCTGAGTGGCTGTTTGCTGTTCAGTGCAAGAAATGAGTTACAGCGGGTAAAAAAAGTATTGAACACGTCACCATTTTTCTCAGTAAATATATTACTAGAGGTGCTAATGTTCACCAGATGTCGGTAACAACCCAAGTGATCCATACATACAAAGAAATCAAACCATAAATGTCCAGAAATGAAGTTATTTGTAATAATGTGGAATGGCACAGGGAAAAAGTATTGAACACATGAAGAAAGGGAGGTGTAAAAAGGCATGGAAAGCCAAGACACCAGCTGAACTCTCTCAGTAATTAGAAAGCAAGCCTGCCCCTTGTCAGTGCAAGTTAATATCAGCTGGTTCAGACCCAAATGATGGCCAGGTATCACACAAGAACCATCTGATGATGGGTAAAAGTAAAGAGCTCTCTCAAGACCTTCACAACCTTCTTGTTGCAAAGCATAATGATGGCATCGGTTACAGAAGAATGTCTAAACTTCTGAAGGTTCCAGTGAGCACTGTTGGGGCCATAATTCAGAAGTGGAAAGAACATTATTTCACCATAAACCGACCACGATCAGGTGCTCCTCACAAGATTTCTGACAGAGGAGTGAAAAGAATTGTCAGAAGAGTTGTCCAAGAGCCAAGGACCACTTGTGGAGAGCTTCAGAMAGACCTGGAATTAGCAGGTACGATTGTTTCAAAGAAAACAATAAGTAATGCACTGAACCACCATGGCCTGTATGCACGCTCACCACACAAGACTCCACTGCTGAAGAAACAGCATGTTGAAGCTCCTTTAAAGTTTGCTGCACAACATTTAAACAAGCCTGTGTAATACTGGGAGAATATAGTCTGGTCAGATGAGACCAGCATTGAACTGTTTGGATGCCAGAATACACATCATGTTTGGAGGTCAAATGGCACTGCACATCAGCCCAAAAACACCATACCAACAGTGAAGTTTGGAGGTGGGAACATCATGGTGTGGGGCTGTTTTTCAGCATATGGTACTGGCAAACTTCAAATAACTGAAGGAAGGATGAGCGGAAAAATGTACAGAGACATTCTTGATAAAAATCTGCTTCCATCTACCAGGATGATAAAGATGAAACGTGGCTGGACATTTCAGCAAGACAATGAGCCCAAACACAAAGYCAAGGAAACTCTCAGTTGGTTTCAGAGAAAGAAACTAAAGCTGCTGGAATGGCCCAGCCAATCACCTGACCTGAATCCAACAGAAAATCTATGGAAAGAACTAAAGATCAGAGTTCATAGAAGAGGTCCACGAAACCTTCAAGATTTGAAGACTGTTTGTGTGGAAGAATGGGCCAAAATCACAGCTGAGCAATGCATGCCACTAGTTTCTCCATACAGGAGGCGTCTTGAAGCTGTCATTGACAACAAAGGCTTTTGTACAAAGTATTAGATAAATTTCAGTAAGTGTGTTCAATACTTTTCCCCTGTGCCATTCCACATTATTACAAATAACTTCATTTCTGGACATTTATGGTTTGATTTCTTTGTATGTATGGATCACTTGGTTGTTACCGACATCTGGTGAAAATTTCACGTCATTAGCCCCTCTAGTAATATATTTACTGAGAAAATTGTTGACGTGTTCAATACTTATTTTACTTGCTGTAACTAATTAGAAACTAAATATTTTTTTAAAAAAACTACAGTTTAATCACAGTATAGAAAAATTATTACATATTTATCATAAAAACATTTCAACACAAAAGTACCCAAAAACTTTTCAATAAAAAACTATCAAAATATGAATGTATGTTTAGTGCAGTTAAGAATCAATAAAGATCTATTTCAGTAGTGGTGGCAAACAGTCAAGAGTCAAGAGTTTATGCATTTTGGTCAGCTAAGATGAGGTCCTCTTTGAAGTTTAATCTGTTAAAGAAGCATCACCAGTACTGTGGAGGATTAAACTGCAAGGAAACTACTTACAGATCTGCAGCTTTGGGAACTTTAGTGTCAAAACTACAACAAAAGCAATTACACAACATTTATTTTTCAAACATTGTAAGTGTTGTCTTTAATAATTAGATATTTAGATGCATGTCTAATTTGAGTTTTTTTTAAACAGCTTTGTGTTTGTTTGGTCATTTTTCTACAAATTTCCCATTTTGTAACCTAAAAAAAGAAGAAGTCAGTATTGTGGTTTGTGAAGTTACTTTTCTCTTCCATTTTCTTAGAGCTTTTCTGAATTTTATTGTTTTATTGCTTTTTGTTTTGCTTCAATGGCTTATTGTTTTGGTCCCCTGGGCCAGCGTTGGCAAAGCTGTAAAAACTTCAATGATTAAAACTCAGCTCTGACCTATTGACTTCGCACTGCTCCGCGATACCCTCAAAAAAGGGGAGCAGCAGAGTTTGTCGCTTTCTGCAGGGATGGCACGGCTGGGTGGTTTTGAAATGTTAACAAGTGAACCATGGGACTTTTYCCCCCCTGCCCACCTTTTGTTTCTGTGTTTTAGAAAATGCATTTTTTTTAATCAAATGTTTGGAAATGAAAAGAAAAAAAACATTTTCTGATAAAATCCCTCTGGGAACCTTAAATTTTCAAATCGCCATCTCCAAATGAGCATTCCTTGTTAAACTATTCATGGATTCCGTTTTGTTTGAAATATTCATTTAGAGATCTTAGTTACCCAATTATCATGTCACAGGTTCACTTGGTGCTGCAGATTTAGCGAGCAAACCCTTCCTTTCTGCTCAGCTGCATGTCGTGGGGTTGGAGATGGAGACTGGGAAAAACCTTTCCCATCTATTTCAGGACTATTACTCAGCTGTCACTTCACACTTTACACACTGCGGTGACAGGGAGCTTGTAGGATGGAGGACAGCTAAGGGCTTTTGTCGAAAAAAAAAAAACACGCACACACAGTGAGGCACTCGCATGCTCAAAACATTTCTATTTTGGACTCGGGGAAATCATGAAGTGGAAGATAAAGGATGAGTTGAACGGGCAACTAGCGGAACTAGAAAATGCAATTAAGATTAAGTTTTTGGGGTCAACTTCCTGCACAGAGAATTCGACACGGTTGTCTTGTGAATTTGAGAGCTAATAAAGAGTGGTTAATTCTCTGTTCTTTTACTTGCGTTTTTCGTCCTCCCCTCTTCTTGTCTCTCCTCGCCTCTTCGATACTAATCAGGTTCAGGTGTTGATAACGGATGAGAACGACTGCGTCCCAGAGTTCCTCCAGTCCATCTATAGTGTCGACGGAGTTCCTGAGACTGTAACCACAGCGACGTCCCTGCTGCAGGGTGAGTCTCCTCTGACCCTGCGTTTCACATCCATCTGTTTCCTGTTGAAACTGAGAGGGGAACAACCCAAAAGTCTGTTTTCTACAAGAAAACAGCAGATGGATTTTAAATTAAACCAAAAGCTTCACYTCCAACCTTGAGTCCCACTGTTTCCACCTACTGACACATAATTCTCCCATTTCCTCTTCATGACCTTAGCTTTAATAAACCTCACTGCTACCAAGACACAATATATTTGTTTTGATTTATTATGCTCCGTATGACTAATAGTGTACCCAGTTTTCAATTTAATGAGAATACCTCATGATTTCCAATTAGGAGGCTCAGGCCATCGCCGCTAACTTGTAAGAAAACAAGCCAATTACGATGAAAATTGTGCTTACAGAGGTGCAGAAATGATGCACAGTATTATATATTTTTATTTTTTTAATTGAGTTACAGATGTTTGTTTTAAATGTGCGAGATGTTTTGACACGTTGTCACTGGCACTTTGCTTCCTGAAAAAAAAAATAGCACTTCTGATTGCACTCGAGAGATTAAAGTTTTTCTGGAAGCTGTAGAATTCAGCTGCAGCCTCGGATGAAGAAAAAGGTTTTTGTCTCACCAATTAAAAGGAACTTTAAGCAAAATTACCTCTGAGCATTTTTCACACAATGCATTGATTTAACGTGGTTTTTGGGTGTACTTACTGTGCGTTTTAGTGTTTAAGTCTTGTCAACTGTGCGTGTACTTTTGCAGTTTCTGACCTCTGTGAGATTTAGTGACAAACAAATTTGAATCAGTAGGAAAAAAATCAGAAATGAGGAAGTAAAAAAAGAAAAAAGAAAAGAAAAGCCGACTCTTTTAACACTAAAAGCTTAAAATGGAGATCTTTATTCTACAAATGTACTTAGATTGAGTGGGCAGAAATATGAATAAAAAAAACAGAGGGATGTGGTTAATTTGGTGATCTGGTGGACTGCTTGTCTGACTGATAAAATATCAAAGATTTCCTGCAGCACAAGAGAATAAAATCCGTATTAAACCATCAGCGTGTCTCCACGGGGCAAAAACCCACTGAGGTTGACAAAAAATTCAAACAGTGAACTTATCACAGTGAAGTTGAAAGGAAATGTGTTATTTCAGTTCATTAACATTTAACGAGTCAAAGTTATACAAGTTAAATAAAAGACCATCATAAATTACCAGATATGATCTGTTTTACAAGGTGCTGAGATGAAAAAAAAAAGGGAAGCAGAAGCTGCTTGACGTGCAGCGAAATAAACACATCAAAGTAATTTGATGTATTCGGGTGTTCGGAGCTGGAGGGGATGCGAGAGGAAACAGCGAGTTTAAGTGAAATTCACAGTGGTTGTGGCTTTAGTCTTGGAGCAAAATCTCATCACACATCAGAAACAAATTTGTAGTTATTTCTGTGTAATTACCTTAGAATATAATCATTTCCAGCCAGGCATATGCACACAAGCTCTGATCATTTAAGTCTTTCTTTTTCTTGTCTTTAAGCTCGTTTTTGCAAATGATGGTAATCACTCTAGCAGGGAACATTTTGTGTTCTAATAATTGTAGCTGTCTGAACTTTTGATTTATCACATGTTTAGCGAGGCCATAAAGAGATAATGATCTACACGGATGTCAACATATTCATCAGCTGATGTCGTCTCATCAGCTCTTTTCGATTAACGGTTAATTGATGGTCCTGCGTGTCGTTTTCTTTCTTCCCGACAGTTTTAGCCTCGGACTGTGACTCGGGGTTAAACGCGGAGCTCACATATTACACCCTGAGCCCGGATTTCAGCATCTCACCCCACGGGACCGTGTTCCCCGCGAGGCGGCTCGACTACGAGAGGCCCAACCATTTGTATGAGTTTGTGGTGATGGCGGTGGACGGCGGGGATGAGCCTCATTCTGGTACTGCCACGGTGCGAGTGAGGATGGCAAACGTCAACGACGAAGCCCCCGAATTCTCCCAGCCTGTGTGAGTTATTTCACGAATTAAAATTTGAATGTTTTCTTTTTACGTTAAACTAGGATCACATTCTAATGAGAAGGGGCGGAGTTAGCGCCATTTTGGTCTAAACTTGTTCATGAGATTGTGCGTAATTTCTGTGATATTGTGATTTGCTATCACTCAGAATGTGTTGTAGAACACTTTCAGCTGCTGCCATAACAAATTTTAGCTCCGTATTTGTAAAATGTAGTAAGGTGTTGACGTTTTTTGGTTGCTAACCGTTGATTAGTCCTGGTGGCCATCTTGAAATTAGGCAAATCTGAAGTGCTTGACATGGGCCAAAAAATGAAATAAAATCTGTTTTGCTCTCCTAAATGTTTGAAGAAGACAACTATTTTTTATTATCTATTTAGAGAAATCTGAAGAATTTAACAGTAAGGGTTAAACTCCACGGTGTTCACATCACATTTGTTATGGAGTCGTGTTCTTAAGGTCAAATTGATGACAGTTTTTACATTAAACAGCAGTTTTAAATACATTTTAGAAAATATTTTCCTGGCAATGATTACCTCAGTTCAATGCCAGCGGACCTGAGCAAAGAATGGATTTTCTCATTTCTTATGTGTTACTGGGCTGCATGGTGATGCAGGTGGTTATGATCTCTCACAGTAAGAAGATTGCACTTGAAACAGTTCTGGGTTGAGTGTGCATGTTCATTCTGTGCACGTGTGAGTTTTCTCTGGGTATTCCAGAAACGTACATTAGGGATGCCACTGGTTCTTAACTGAGCAAGTATGGGTCTCTGCAGTACATTGGGGGAGTTTATTGACTGTGTGGGTGGGGATTAACCATGACTGGCAGAGCTCTTTGGTGTGGGGCGGCCATTATTAAATTCAGCCTTCAGTAAACTGGTAGCCTAATACTTTTGCAGTACCTTAATATGAAGTAAAACATGTAATATTTGAAGTAGCATAGAGTGAAAAAAGATATTGATAAGTAGCTTAAAATTGTACTTCCTTACTGTTGGAATAATTGTATGAATCTTATATGTTATTCTTCTTATTAACTGGTCTGTGTAATTATAATACACCAAAAGCATATTATAATTATGATCCTACAATATTAAAAGTACACTGCCTATGAATTTGAAATACATTAAAAATACAATTTCAGTACAATTCATTTACAAAAAAAGTGCATTAAATTTTTACTAACTAAGCATGTTATTCGTACATACAAAGCTATACAC